ACAAGTCGAACCTTCCTAGCAATCATAATCCACTCCCTCGTTACAATGCTGGCGAAAATGAATCGACCCTCAGCCTTTTCCAAGGCCAACTCGGCAGCGCAAGTGGATCAACCCCGAAGCTATTGGGAAATGAAGAGTGGCGTAGTATCATGCTATATGTGTTGAATAACCTTACCAAGGTGCAGTCGTTCATCAAGTAAGTTCTCAACGAACTTGTTTCAATACGCCGTCACTATTCTGCATCCAACCCCATTGATTCTCGTTCAGACAGGGAATTTGTTTGTGAATTCTGGCATCAATCAAGGGATCCTACCTCGCATGAACAAGACACCCTTGTTTCGCGGGGTGCGGGAGCGGGGAGGCCTGATTTTATTTCTTGGTTCAAACAAAAGGTAATGTCCAATTTAGCTCGTACGTTCGATCGTCCAAGGTGATCGTACGTTTAATTAATATAACGATCTATCATGCTTCACCTTGCAGGCCCAGACCGGTTCATCCATGAGTGACGAGTTGAAACAGGTTGCAAACAGCTGTGACGTTAGGGTGAAGTCATTTACCGGCTATGATGTGAACGGATATCGCTTCCACACAATAAGTTACGAGCAGATTTGGCCCAAACAAAAAACCACAAATAGCGGAGTTTGTACGCCCGGCACTGATGGCCTCGACTATCATGGTAGAGTTGAGGAAATCTATGAACTCTCATTTCATGGAGACAAACCTCTTAAACCTATCATGTTCAAATGCCACTGATTTAATCCTCGATCAACGAGACGAACCCCTCATCTTGGGCTAGTCGAGATTCGAGAAGATTCCATCTATCCTGAAAAAGATGTCTACATTGTGGCTCAACAGGCCGTGTAGGTGTATTATACTCGATACGCCAACCAAGACAAAGAGGATCTTAAGGGTTGGGCTATTGTGCACTAGGTATCTCCACACGGTAAACTACCTGCCCCAAACGATGATGATTACAACTTCAACGCAAACACATATGATGGACAGTTCTATCAAGAAGATGGGCTACCAGGCACGTTTGAGATAGTCTTACCCAAAGCAATCGAAATGGAAGTAGACAACAAAATGGTTGATGGCGAGGTCGATGGAGATGTGGTGGTAAATGCCAAGGACATAGCAATGCTTGAGCGATTACTTCTAGGTAATGACTACGATGACAACATAGAACCTTCGGATAGTGTTGCCCATTTGGACAATTTTGACAGTGATGATGAGACCTATGATCCCAATCATGAAGATTATTCTTAATACATGTAATACTATGTTTTTTTAATTTGTGTTTTGTTTATATATTTTGAATCTATTTCTAATATATATACTAATTAGTCTTGTTCATTCTTTGTGATTGCAGGTGATTGAACAAAGATGGCAAGCAGACGTCCACACCGTGACACGCCCTCGGTTTACGGGAGAGACCGCCCTCTCCTTTGAGGTGAGGGGTCATCGTCCGGGGCAGCGTCCACAGGAGGTGACGAGAGGAGGACCAGGGGCAGCAGTCGTAGGAGGCAGCGGTCTCCTCCCTCGCCACGTGATGAGGTGCTAGAGGAGGAACACGTGACAGCCACAGCCACGTCCTCGTCGGAGGACGAGAGGGGTCAACAGATGGGCGAGGTAGGCGAGGCGCTCGAGGGCGAGGGAGGCGAGGGGCTCAAGGGCGACGGAGGGGGTACCGCTACCCGGACTCCCTACGAGCGAGGTCCCGCGAGCCTCCCTCTGGTTCCGCTTCCTCACAACCGTCCAGTGATTCGGCCTATGGCAAAGAGGTAAGTAACTATAGATGTTATCACAATTACTTCATAAGATATGTTGGAAATCATAAGAGAAACTGATAAATTTTCTTAATCACTTGTGCAGGGCCTGGTTGGTTTTGTCAGGTACTTCAGCACGCACCCCCGCGAGCATCCTTGGTGTTTTGTGCAGGAAATGGTACCCCGGCATTGTGCAACTGTCCGAAGAGCCGGTGGTGCGAGAGCTGGCCTCCAACTGGGACAGGTACGCGCTGGTCACGGATGACACTTACCGCAATAAGCAGGAGCGGGTATTGGCAGAGTTTTGGGTAAGTTTCTCTCCCACAACATTGCTTAATACAACTCATTCATTGGTTAAATGTTTTATTGAAATAATGAATGGATACATCGGTTTTTGTATGCGGATCGGGCGGCTGTCGCAGCTTGTAGGAAGTACGTCACCGAGATGCACCACCATGGGCGTTCCAAGCCCACATAGACTACTACAGGTTGGTACTTAAGCAGTCCCTCCCCAAGCCTCAAGAAAGACTGATTACGCTGACCCAGGACCAGTACCTTGAGGTAGGCGAATAACATTCATAATGATTCGTTTTTATATTAAGTAGGTTCAATTTCATCTTCTTATATGTCAAATACTCGATGACTTGTAGGTGATTCCCGGTGATTCCCTGGTGGTGCCAATCGTATACCGAGTGCTGGGCCATGATCGTGGACAAGTGGTTATCACAGGACTTTGTTGACACGCACGAGAGGCAGCGGGAACAGCGTCTGATGAGGCAAGGTCCAACTCACCATCAAGGCAGTCGCAGCCTCCCCGGATACAAACAAGCATACGTAAGTGATTTCTTTCATTTATTTTGATGCTCAATTCTGCTTGATTTCTCACCATCTCCCCGTCTTTCTCGTAGGAGGCTGCGCACCCGGGCGAGGAGGTCTTAGAGTTCTCTGCGTGGGCTATGTCCCACATGGGCAGGGCGTCGTCCTCTGTCTCCTTCGACCCGGCTGCCCCGCCCCAGGTGTACTTCGACCCGAACGTGTACACTAAAGTCCAAGAGTATACATCCTCGGTAAGGGAGATCTATGGGGAAGATTACAATATGCGCACTGAGCCCATTGATGCAGAGACTATCACGAGGCTCGGAGGAGGCAAGAAGCATGGGCGGCTGTGGATTGCAGATGGCGCCATCGACTCCACCACTGTTCCCTCCCTCGATGCTATCCGAGCACAGAGCACGAGCTCCAGCCAGCCCATACGCTCACGGCCTTCTCCAGCACTGCAGTAGGTCCAGGCACTCCAGGTAATTCCTGTTTTACTCGTCGTACGTTGATATTTACACACCTAAATTAGATTTGTATTACTGATACATTGGAGTGAAATATTGTAGGCCGAGCTAGAAAAAACAAAAAGGCAAAGTCAAGAGCAGAATGCGGAACTGACCGCACAGCTGCAGGCCCAGCAGGTTGCGTTCGAGGCCGCACAGAAGCAGATGGCGGAGATGATGGTGATCATGCAAAGTCTTGGGCAAGCATCGGGTGTACCTGTGCAGTTTTCAGCTCCTCCACCTCCTACTCCTTCAGCTACTCCTGCAGCTACTCCTGTAAGTATGAAAGTTCACTTTTCGCTTGTGCTTTGCATGGATGTCGGCGTTCGTGCCGTTGTAGATGTCGGCGTTCGTGCCGTTGTGGATGTCGGCATTCATGCCGTTGTTTCTTGCAGGTTTTGGAAACCTCCCTGTGCAAGGGAGGTGCTGCCGAAATTTTCAATTGAGTCTAATCTTTTTGTATTCCTAGATTATTAGATGCAATCTCTAAGTTCCAATACTGTTTTCCTAGATTACTCACACATGCAATCTCTGCTCCTTTGTGCAGCCTCCGTCCGCGGGTTCCAATCATCCCGGTAGTGCGTCACCGGCTGATCCCGCCTTTACTTCACCACCGTCTCATAGGCTACCTTGATAAGTACTAGTGCTAGGTGATATGGTTCGACTTTATTGTAATATTTGTGGTTTATGGTTCTGACTTATGCTTGGATTTTATGAACTTGTCGTAATAAATATGTGAATGATGATGAACATGTGACTTGTCGGTGTAATATATTGTGATTTGTGGTTCATAATTATGGTTGTGATGTATTGTGAGAAAATGGGTTCTGTGTGATATATATATGAAATGCTTGTGTCGATGGAATGCAAAAAATAAAAAAAAAATTTAAATTTCTGCCTCTTTGCCGAGGGCAATGACCAAGGCCCTCGGCAAAGAAGGGTCCTTTGCCGAGGGCCGTCCCATTGCCCTCGGCAAAGATTTTTTTTAAAAAAAATAAAATTTCTGCAACATTTCTTTGCCGAGGGCCATGGTTGGAGGCCCTCGGCAAAGATTTTTCAAAAAAAAAGAATAATTCTTTGCCGAGGGCCGTCCCATTGACCTCGGCAAAGATTTTTTGGAAAAATTCTGCACATTTCTTTGCCGAGGGCCATGCTTGAGGCCCTCGGCAAAGATTTTTCAAAAAAAAAAAAACTTTGCCGAGGGCCCCAGAGACGGCACTCGGCAAAGACTCCGTCCCAGACGCCGGCGCCGTGACGGCTGCTTTTCTTTGCTGAGTGCCGCTCCAGCCCTCGGCAAAGGCTTTGTCGAGTGCCCGATAAAGGGCCCTCGACAAAAACCCTCCTCGCCGACTCAAAATTCCCCGAGAGCTTTTTGCCGAGGGTTAATGAGCCTTTGGCCCTCGGCAAAGAGGCCGTCTCCAGTAGTGGGTTGCTTGCTGACACATTAACTAGTTGAATTGGATAAAAGGAGATCATTGGTATAATCATTGCTTTTGTGGTGGGCGGATGCAATTTTATCCAGAAGTTTGCCTTAGTGTTTTGTTCTTCGCTTGCTTTATTGTGTGTGTATTCACTCTCTTCAAAGTTGAACATACACCAATTACCTGTTGATTGTTCTCCATGTAACATTTTAACTATTAAAACATATTGTATTTATTTTTTATAAAAAAGAAAGGTGAAAAGACGCTTGTGTGATGAAAGGAAAGGGTTATTTCATGATTACCTATAGATATATACTGTACGAGAATGGACTAGCAGCTTGCGAGTTGCAAGCTTGCATAATTAGAAGACCAAGTGACGGATACTGGCATATTCAAATGCATTCCAAACTAACTACTATTTTGCTAATTTTGTTCAATATAATGCAAATAGCCTAAAACTCCTGATTCTTGATCCAGAATGAAGGGAACAACTAGTAACAAATTACCTCACGGGACATCTTGGCAGAAGTAAATCTGCTGTGGCCATCAGCCTGCCTCTGCTGTTGGTGCTGCTGCAGTTGTATCATGGTGTCCGCAGTTTCAGCGGCTTCCGCACCACACCCAGGGAGCATATCTTTCATGGCCTCTGAGGTCACTTCTACCTTTCCATCATCGTTCTGTTCCATCATTGTTGCGGTAGAACGCAGCTGCGTCTGCTGGTAGAAGACCTTAGACACGACCAGCTCCCCGTCCTTCTCCTCATCCCTGCCGAGGTGGTATTGGTGCATCACCCAGTTGGTCTTCTCCGGCTTGTTCCCTTGCTTTCCATAGTTACTGTACAGCACCAGGATCTTCTTGCACCCCTTCTGCCGACCACCAACGATTACTGGACGTGTCTTGCCGGTCTTATGCCACTGCGCCTCGCCAACATCGTCACCGCGTTTTGACTGGATCTTTCTCCTCTTCCTTGTGCCAGAGGTGTAGGCTTTGGATGGCCTGTGGAAGAAGTGCTTGTTGACGCTATCTCTTGTCACACCTAGTGATAATCAATTAACTAGGTATAAGCACAAGAGTTTGTGCAGTCATGGCATATATACAAGTAACAAGTTGAGATGCGTATCAGTTAAATTGTTTTGTCTCATACTAATATGTAAGGTCTGGTGATTAGTGTCAATTATGGCTACACGTGCATGTTTATTAACATATTTAACCACTATATATAGCAAATTAAGTGTAGAAAATTAACCCCAGCGGGAGAAACAAAAGGTAGCCTACCGCTATAGCTATCTATATTTTGGAAACTTCCGAATCATCTTCCCATCATGAGGGAGACGTGAACAAAGTGTGTGTTCAGCACCAATTTTGCATAGATGAAGACTGTATTTGCAGACATCGTCCCATGGACATGTGGAGGTGGATAATACCAAATCCGTTAAAAGATGGTAGATGAGCACACCAAGTTCAAGTGATCAACAAGAGTATATGGCCACATTATAGATCTACATTCAGATTGATGTCAACAGAAATTCTTTGTGAAATAGAACTCAACTGCAACAAAAACTAGATGAATTCAAAAAACAGATCTAATCTAGGAGGAACTAGGCAGTCTTTTATTAGGTAAAGCCTTTACGTTGCACGCAGGATGGGGATCACCACGCACGCACATGGGCCTAGCTCGGCCTTCATAGCATAGCGCATGACTAGGCTTTATCCTCACTCACATGGCCACCGTCTCCCAAGGACCTCTGCCTTCCTCTCCTGTCTCTTTCTCTCCCTCAATACATGGCTGCCATAGGCCCTCCTTTGACAAATCAGGCAGATCCAGCGACGTTGAACCTCGTTCAACAAGTTGAGTGGATCTCTGGCGACCCCGACTAGGTTAGTGTTTAGGGTTTATGGGTTTCGAGTTTGGAGTTGGGGATTTCTTTGTTCTTCGGCTATAAAGGAAAGATTGGGGAGGCCGATTGACCGGCAGTGGTGACAGTGGGAGAGGGGAGGTAGGGGTGCCGCACATTGGGTGGTGGGAGAGGCCGGTTGGGCCAATGCTAGCGGCGGGGTTGTTGGCTTGAGAGGGAGGAGATGGATACTATGATTAGGGTGCGGTTGTGAGTGGAAGAGGAGGTGACATTTCATCGCCAGAGCCAGGCGGGAGGTGGCATTTTGTTGTCGGAGACAGGGGGAGGCCGGGGCGCTCAGTGGAGAAGTGTGCGTGCGGTATGCTAGTAGCACGGTCATGCATGTGTTAACTGTGTCCTTTTTATTAAGAACAGAATAGGCACATAAATTCAAGCCAAGAGAGGACCTAAGTGATTTGGTGTTTTACCACACCACTCACCTAACTAGATGAGCTAGGCTCACTTTCTAAAATTAAATGAATTCTGTCAGATCATACATCTAAATAAGTAGTAGCTGATAAAACATACATGCATGATGGTGGCAGTGCGTGTATATTGAGGGCTAGGCTGAAGGGGAGTATAATCTCACACCTGGGAGATTCTCAGGATGGGTGTAGCAAATGCCGTCGTTTCCTTGAAGTGTGGGTATGAAATCACCAATGAGGGGGTGTGCTCTGGAGCCTCCTTCCTTCACCATGGACTCCAGGTGCTCTATGAGCTCCTGGTCCGACGGATCAAACTTGACACCGGCTGGAAACCCAACCATGTCCTGCAATAGCAGCATTTGAATGCATATGCGTATGTATGAGAATTTAGGGAAAACAAAAGGATCATTGTTACTGCAAACTAGTAATTTAGCATACCGTATTGCAGTCGAGCTCATGGTCGCAGCTAGGGCAGCGCCGTGAAGTTGGTGTCGAGCGTCGTTGGTCCTTAAGCTTCTCGTCGCTGAGGTCGGAGGTGCTGTTGCTGCTGCTCATGGCGTTTGAGTGCCCCCTATTCATGTTGGATTCACGCATTTATGCACAGTAGATTGCAAAATTAAAAAAAAACAGAAGAAGAGCTGCATGTTGTATTAAAATGAAAGAAGCTAGGAAGACGCCTTTTAGAAAGATGCTGGCCTAGTCCGCAAGGACTATAATCCCTAGCCCTGACCGTCAGAGAGAAAAACAATTGTCAAAAACGTTGGATTTGCCTAGATAAGTGTTCTGCTCCCGTCCTAGACCAAAGTGAAGCCTTATCTTTGATCTTCTCCAAAATTTGATGATTTGATGCCTTTTGCACTAGAGAATCCCTGTATTTCTTTCTTTCCACACTTCCTAACAACCCAAGATTATAATATAAAGTAATCTGTTGCTCTCCCTAGTCTGAACGCGCAGCAATGGTAAGCGCCGAAAGGGCTCCCTGTTGCTGCACTGTAGCCGCGGCAGGGTCAGGCGTCAAAAGGCTCTCCTGCCGCACTGTAGCCACAGCAGGTGCAGGCGCCAAAGTCAGCCCAACTGTCACATCTAGTTACTGTAGCAGCACGACAGCCTGACATGTCTGTGTATTAGGATTAGATGGGTAGAGTTGTATTTATAGCTTCCCACTGTAACTCTGTAAAGTGAGCGAGTTCAGTTTTGCCATCTCCTCTGCAGAGCTCCGACTAACGCTGGTGCTTATGTTGTGTGTGTGCGCGCTTTGTTCTCCCTCCCTTCTTCTTCCTCTAGCCATAGTGTATGGTTGGCAATGTCGGTGAGCGATCAGCTCACCCGTGTGGAAGATCAGGGGCCAACTAAGTGGTATCAAAGCCGTACAAGCGCCGTCGCCGGACGAACCGCTGGCAATGACGGACAGTTTGGAGATGGGTGACAACAGCGGCGCTGCTGTAGCTGCCCAGCCACGACAGGAGGTCGTCGTGCGCATGGTGCAGGAGGTCAGCGACACCAGTTGGCCGACGCTGACTCGCACAAACTATGGCGAGTGGACGGTGACCATGAAGGTCAAGCTCAGAGCCCGACGGCTCTGGAATAGCATTGACAAGGGCACCGACAACGAAGAAGACGACATATCAGCGTTGGAGGCTATCCTCGCTGCTGTGCCAGCGGAGTACATGGAGCCGTTGGGGGCAAAGAACTCTGTTAAGGAGACGTAGGAGGCCATTGCAGCGATGCGCATTGGCTCCGACCGCGCATAGAAGGCGACGACCTAGCTGCTGAAGCAGGGGTACGCCAACCTCAAGTTTAAGGATGGTGAATCGGTGGAGGACTTCTCCCTCCGCCTGCAGTCGCTCATCAGCAAGCTGAGGAGCCACGGCGTCACCATCGACGAAGATGAGGCGGTCTCCAAGTACCTCCACTCCGTGCCGGTGAAGTACATCCAGATCGCTCTCTCCATAGAGATGATGTTGGACTTGTCTACCCTCACCATTGAGGATGTGACAGGCCGTCTGCGAGTTGTGGACGAGCGCATAGAGCAGGCCATCGCAACGACGGACAGCGGCAAGGTGCTGCTGACAGAGGAGGAGTGGGCTGCCCAGATGAAGAAGTTCGGGGAAGCCTCCTCCAGCCGCGGTGGCTATGGCAAGCGCCACGGCAAGGCTTCTTCGGAGAAGAAGAAGAAGAAGGTCGACCCCAACGCCTGCCGGCGCTGCGGGAAGACGGGCCATTAGACAAAGGAGTGCCCAAATTGCCAGCAGGAGAAGAAGGTTGAGGCTCATTTAGCGCAGGCTGATGAGGATGATGAGGCCACTCTCCTGATGACAACGTTTTGTGCACTGCACGACGTTAAGGCCAAGGAGAAGGGAGAGGTGATGGCGGTGGAAGGGCACGGCAAGGCTCTGAAGGCTGTAAACCTCGATGAACCGCGCGCCCAAGTCCACCTCGGACGTGTGGGTGGCGAACAGGAGCAGTGGTGGTACCTGGACTCTGGCGCCAGCAACCACATGACGGGCTCCAAGGAAGCCTTCTCTGAGCTCGATGGCAACGTGACCGGCATGGTGAAGTTCGGTGATGGCTCAAGGGTGGTGATCCAAGGGCGCGGCACCATCATCTTTAGGTGCCAGAATGGTGAGCACCGCGCGCTGACGGAGGTGTACTACATCCCACAGCTGCGTTCAAGCATCATCAGTATCGGGCAGCTGGACGAGCGCGGATATGAGGTACTAATAGAGAGCGGGATCCTAAAGATTTAGGATCAGGAGTGGCGTCTTCTCGCGAAGGTAAAACGCTCACGTAATCGTTTCTACCTGCTCGACTTGAAGGTGGAGTAGCCGGTGTGTCTAGCAGCATGGCACACCGAGGAGCCGTGGTTGTGGCATGCCCAGTTCAGCCATCTCAGCTTCGACGCGCTCGGTTGGCTGGAGAAGATGGTCCGAGGGCTGCCCCACATCAAGCACGCAGGCGAGCTGTGTGACAGCTGACTGGCCAGGAAGCAGAGGAGGCTAACATTCCCAAAGACAGCCAAGTATCACGCAGCGGACGCTCTCGAGCTCATCCATGGTGATCTCTGTAGGCCAATCAAGCCAGCCACAAACGGTTGTCGGTGGTACTTCCTCCTGCTCGTGGATGATTGCAGTCGCTAAATGTGGCTGCAACTCCTGACGAGCAAGGACGAGGCGGCGGCGGCGATCAAGAAGTTCAAGGTGTGCGCGGAGGTGGAGAGCAGCAAGAAGCTGCGCGTGCTGTGGACTGATCGCGGCGGCGAATTCACTTCGGTGGAGTTTGCTGCGTACTGCGCGGGTCAGGGTGTGGTGCGACACCACACCGCGCCGTACTCGCCATAATAGAATGGAGTGGTGGAGCGGCGGAACCAGACCGTGGTCAGCATGGCTCGATCCATGCTGAAGGCCAAGAGCATGCTGGCAAGGTTCTAGGGTGAGCGATGACCACGGCGGTGTTCATCCTCAACCGCGCGCCCACCAAGGCCCCGAAGGGCAAGACGTCATTCGAAGCTTGGTATAGGCACAAGCCTAGCGTGTCCTTCCTCCAGACATTCGGCTGCATCGGCCACGTTAGGAAGACGAAGCTGGTCCTCACCAAGCTGGACGATAGGAGCACACCGATGGTGCTCTTGGGCTACAAGGAAGGTACCAAGGCATACTCGCGGCGTACTCGCTCTATGACCCACGCGGTTGCAAGGTGGTTGTCTCGCGCGACGTCGTGTTCGACCAGAAAGCGGCCTAGGGCTGGGACAGTCCGAGCACAGGGGAAGCTGGCGGCTTCACCAGCACCTTCGTCGTCGAGCACTTGGTCATCCACAGTGGTAGAGACACTGGAGAGGAGGTGCCGACCACTCCAACAACAGAGCCGAGCACTCCTGGGGCAGTTTTGACCACTCCGAGAGGGGTGCCGACCACTCCAGGAGTGGTGACGAGTGGTCCAGGAGCAGTGCCGAGCACTGCAGCCAGGGTGCCGAGCACTCCAGGTGCTGTGCCAACCACTCCGGTGGAACAGGGGACTCCATCGACGCCGATTGAGTTCGCCTCACCTCCAAGTGACATCACCGAGTTCGTGGATGCTTTTCACGACGGTGAGGAGGTGCAGTTCCACAGGCTGGATGACATCGTCGGCGGCACAGGGTCCTCAGGCCTAGTGGGTCGGCTGCTCAATGACCCAGACCTGCTTCTCGTCAGTGCAGAGGAACCACCCACGTTTGCGCTGGCCGAGCGTGATGCCAATTGGCGACGGGCGATGCTGGAGGAGATGAAGGCAATCGAGGAAAACAAGACTTGGGAGCTCGTCGATCCACCTCCAGGATGCCGTCCGATCGGCCTGAAGTGGGTGTACAAGGTCAAGCAGGACGAGCGCGGCGCCATTGTCAAGCACAAGGCACGCCTCGTCGCCCAAGGCTTTGTCCAGCGCGAGGGCATCGACTTCAAGGAAGTCTTTGCACCGGTTGCGTGCATAGAGTCTATCCGACTGCTACCGGCTTTGGCAGCAGCGAAGGACTAGCACGTCCATCACCTGGACGTAAAATCGGCCTTCCACAATGGCGAGCTGACGGAGATGGTCTTCGTTAGGCATCCTTCGGGTTTCGCCATCAAGGGAGCGGAGTATAGGGTGCTCTGACTACGCAAGGCGCTCTACGGGCTGCGACAGGCCCCGCGAGTGTGGAACGCCAAGCTTGACACCACGCTGGGCGAGCTTGGGTTCACGCGGTGCGCAACCGAGCACACGCTCTACACGCGGCGACGGGGGAAGGAGGAGCTCGTTGTCGACGTGTGTGTGGATAACTTGATTGTCACTGACACGCGTGCGGAGGATATCGACAGCTTTAAACGCGAGATGGCGGCTCATTTTTGAATTTGCGATCTCGACGCTCTCTCCTACTACCTCGGCATCGAGGTGAGATAGGAGAAGGAGGTGCTCACGCTCGGTCAGAGCGCGTATGCCTCAAAGTTGTAGGAGCAGAGCGGCATGGCTGAGTGCAAGCCATGCGTGACTCCGATGGAGGAGCGGCTGAAGCTGACAAAGGTCAGTACCACGGCGAAGATAGATGCAACACTCTACCGGAGCTTTATCGGCGTTCTGCGCTACCTAGTCTACACGAGGCCGGATAATGCGTTTGCCATGGGCTACGTCAGCTGCTTCATGGAGGATCCCCGAGAGGATCACTAGGCCCCGGTGAAGCGGCTGTTGTGCTACATCAAGGGGACGGTGGATCAGGGGATTGTCTTTCCCAAGACCGGCGGAAGTGGGCTGCAGCTCACTGTGTTCAGCGATGTAGACATGGCGGGGGACATCGACGGACGGTGGAGCACCTCTGGCGTGCTCGTCTTCCTTAGGTCGGCTCCAATCTCATGGCTGTCGCTGAAACAGAAGGTGGTGGCGCTGTCCACATGCGAAGCAGAGTATGTGGCGGCAGCCACAGCGGCGTGCCAAGCTGTGTGGCTGCGCCGACTGCTGGACGAGCTGACCGGTGTGGAAGCTCACCCACCAGCACTGATAGTGGACAACCAGCTCGCCATCACCATCGCGAAGAATCCGGTTCTCCACGACCG